GTATGGACCTGATACTTAGCCAATCTACAGCAACCCAGGCTGCGCGATCTGTAAGCAATCTAACAAAGACTAATTTCTTCCTATAAATAGTCCTGATTCTGCAAAGAGCATTTCAGTTATATGTGCCAAGGTTCTTGAGCTATATTTAAAAGCTTAAAGAATTTGAGCCAAAGAAAAGGGCCTCAACTCTAGCCTACATATGATAAGGACTTACCAACTCTATACTATATACAAAAGCAGTACAGTTAGGTGGTAAATAATCAGAAAATAGTTAGATTATTGGTATATTATAGAAACTTCATTTCATAGTTATCGTGGTCTCTTTTTTTCCTGTATTGCCTTCTTCATTACTGCTGTACATATCACAAGGCCTATGGCAAGAACTAATTGTCTCCCAATATCTACCCTGGGGGCAGTTTTAATGGTTTAACCCTCTTCCCATCAAGAGTTGGTATATTTATTTCCTCCCCTTGAATATGGGTGGGCTCTGAGTCAGGCTTAACCAATACAGTACAGTGGAACTGGTGCTATTTAACTTCTGAGGTTATGTCATAAAAAGCCTTTTAGCTTCCTCCTTTGTCTCAAGGAATGCTGTTGCTCTTGAAGCCCTAAACACTCTCTTAGTACAATTATCCTGAGACTGCCATGCTGAATAGTCCACAACTGGATGCTCTGGAAGACAATCCCATCTGAATCTGTCTTTTCAAGATTCCAGCCCAGGAGTTGAACATATGAGTGAAGATGCTATCTGGGGACTGAGTCCTCCAGTCATAGCTGCTTCAGTCACTGGCTATTTGAGTCATCCCCAAATATCTCTGCTATACCCTTTCTGTATTTTGGACCCATGGAATCTCATGAGTATAATAAAAGGTTGTTGTTTTACACCATTAAGTTTTGGGGTGGTTTGTTACACAGCAAAATATAACTAAAACATCTCTTACAATCTGTGTGTTTAAGTTGAGTAGATGGCTGTCCAGTTAGAGGCTACATTTCCTGGTCTCTTCTCTTGCAGGGGAATGTGGCTATAAGTCTGGCTTATAGTACGTGAGTAGAAATGGTGTAATTTCCGAGTCATGTCAATAAAATATTAAGTGTTTGTCTTCCACTTCTCTCTCCCACCCACTTCTGCTGGCTGAGACAATGATAATTAAAGCAGCCACCTAGGATCCATAGATGTTCCAGTATGCTGTCACAGGTTAGAGTCCCCAGGGAGCAGAGTTTAGTGTGCAGAATATTAATTAAGGAGTTCCCCAGGGGTCAACACATAAATGGAGGGGAAGAAGCAGTGGACAGAGGGAAAAGTTGAGCTGAATGCAGATCCAATGCCAACCTCAGCCAACCCCAGAGAGCTCAGGAGCTAACACAGCCTTTCAAAATTGTCCTCCATTGGTTCTAGATGGCCTTTATATTCCTACATGGATCAGTCATTAGATGCGAATCACCCTGCCAGATGCTTTTGTTAGGTTATAATTACAATGTATTAGTTATCTATTACTGCATAACAAAATAACCCAAAACTTAGTGGCTAAAACCAACAAATGTTTATCATCTTACAATTTCTGTGTGTCAGAAATTCAGAAATGTACAGGGTTGCAGTTAAGCTGTTGGCTGAATCTACAGTCATCTTGATTCAATTAGCAGGCCAAAAGATTCAGCTCACTCACATGGTTGCTGGTAGGGCTCTTCCACACCACAGGGGACCTTCTCCATATGCTGCCTAAGTGTTCTCACAGTGTGGCAGGTGGCGACCTGAGAGAGAGAGAGTATCAGAGAGCCCAAGACAGAAGCCACAGTCTTCTGAAAACCTAATCTCAGCAGAGACATCCCTAAATGAATCAGTTAGGCCAGCCCACACTCCAGGAGAGGGGATTATACAAGGATGTGAATCTCAGCCAGCAGGGATCATGAGGGCTATCTTAGAGGCTGCCTACCATACGTAGCATGCACACAATTTTGTATCCTGCTGATTTTGAGTTTTTATCAACTGACATTTTGTTTTGCTACATTATTCATCTAAATGTTAATAAAAATTATAAACATAATATATTCCTGTAAAAACGTGCAAATGTTCAAACAATACAGGTGTAAAATCCTTTTCTTTATGCTATTCCTCATACTAATTGAAGGACCCAGAGGTATCCACAATCTTTTTTAATCTGCTGAGATATTTTTCACACATACATATATACATATTATTGTATACTTAATGTTTTTAATATATCTTGGAGCTCTTTCCATATCAAGCATGTAGAGGCCTAGGTCATTCTTTTAAACATCTGCATATTTCATTTAATGATTATACTAAAAATATTTTAAGCAGTCCCCTTATTGACATGTAAATTTGCTATTTGACAAAAGATACAAAATGTACATTCTTACCCATGTCTTTGCAAATTCATGCTGATGTACCCTTTAGGATAAATTCCTGGTAAGTAGAATTACTGGGTCTAAAAAATGTGCATTTAAAATTTTGATGGATATTATAGTATATGAATGTGTTTGTTTCCCTAGATAATGGCTAACACTGAATATCAGTAAATTTTAAAATTTTATCAGGTCCAGCCACGGCTACCACTGCATTATGTACATACCTGTATTAGAAGACGGTATGACATTACTGTAATTGATGTTTACATACCTTTTATTAGAAGGTTAGCTTCCTGAGGTCACAAACTTAATTGCATTTCTCTTTGTAGTCCTGATAACTTAATATCATACTTGGCATACAGTAGATACTCTGTAAATGTTTAATAAATGTCAGAGTTGAATTTAAGGCTTCAAGATGTCACTGAACCAGAATCAGAATTGGTTCAAACCACAAAAGCTGCCTCTAATTTGTCTCTTATTCTCTGGCCTCCATTTCTACAATTATAAAGTGCATGTGTAATACTAGATTATTTTCCTATAGTCCTTTTCAGATCCAAAATTATATGCTTCTAAATAGGAAATTTGTGTTATTCATTGTATGACCTCTTTACATACCAATTCAAATTAAATATTATAATCGCTAGTCCTAGACCGTGCATTTGCCATATTTTTCAATACCAATGGATTGCTTTTGAGTTAAAAATATTAAGATGTCAAAGATTTCGAAACTCCATTATAGGTAAGCCAATCCTTAATCTTTCAAATTTTTCAGTGATAAAAACCACCCCCCTAATCACACCGCCCCCCCACTAAAAAAAAAAACCACTCTAAGCAAAGGTATTTGGTTCCAAGATCCTTGTTTTCTAAAATCTAGTCCTGAGGTCTAGTCATAGTATTCTCATTAACATTCTTGTCTCTTGGACTAAATAAACCAACTAGAATACTATGCAATTAAGATATTTAAAAGTATTGGTTATTAAAAAATTAGGGAATTATCAGCTCTCTTCATCTTTTTATAAAAAGGTGACCATGTATGTGTATATAGTTTTTTGTTCCAAAAGATCTTTAAAAGTTTTTCATGTCTATGTTTCCAAACGTTGAGTCAATCACAAACATAAGGTCTAGCTATGCTGATAGTATTAGCCTTACAAAATGTCCTAAAAAATTTTGTTATACTCATGTATATTATTAATTTCTGCTTGAACCATAATTTTCACAGCCTTTGGTAACAGGGGTTTATGACTGTGCTAGTGACATTTTAACAGCAGTCATGAATAACAGTTAACATTAAAAAAAAAACACGTCTTACCATGGCTTTGGTTGCTAAGCTGCTCTAGTTCCTCTCTCTACGGGAGCTTGAATAGTGGTGGGGTAATTTGTTGCAGCAGCAGTAACGCTGACAGTTTATTTTAGCCCAAGGTTTATGTTGGTAAAAGAAACCACCTGTCTCCTTCTATGCACGTCAACAGCTCTAACCCTCCTTCATACCGTTTTATCACTAGCATATGGCTTTCCCTCTTTTGATAGCACTGTTTTGTCTTTGCTCTTAGAGGTAATCTCCTAAGGGTCAGAATCCAACAGACTCAGTAAATCTTACTATGACTGGTAAAAATTCCATCGAAATAAGCAGAGTTCTGCATAATAAATTAATTTTCACAAGCCTGGTAACATGGTAGATGGTGTGTAGTAGCAATATTTTATTGATTGGGTTGACCCTGGACAAGTTATTTACTTTGAGCCTTAGTAAAGGAATGCATTTCTTGAAAAAAAATATAAGCTGGAGGTATTAAGTATGACTTTCCCTTACAATTGATGGAATTGAGTTTATAGCAGAGAACAGAAAGGAATAAGGATTACGAAAGAATTCTGAACATAGATTTTCAAAAAAATTTAATACAGCTTTAGAGATTATTTGTAAAATTTTTTTTTTGTTTTGTTTTGACAATTAAAAATAATGAAAGCTGTTAGTTTTGTCTTCTATTACTGGAATAATTTATTTGACTTAATACTACAGATGGTGCTAATATAATGAATATGAAACATCAGTGAAGGTTATCTCAAGACCTCCCTCATTCCAACGGGTTGTATGTGTATAATCTAGTATACACGGAAAAATGTCACATAAATCACCATGACATTATAAAAACAGGTTCAAGAGAAAATAGAAAAATACATTTTCCATTAAGCTTCTCAATACTCTTAGAAGTAACAACCTATACAATATGGCAGAGAATTATGTGTAGCAGTTAAGAATAATGAATTTTAGAGTCAGAGAGAACTAGGCTTGAGTCTGTGGCTTTTTTGCTGTGGCCCATGGCAAGCTATCTAATATCCCTGGCCTTCGGTTTCATCTATAACATTAGATAATACTACCTGATAGGGTTGGAGCAAGGACAAAACAAGATAATGCATATAAAACCAGAATGCTTAGCACATAGAAAAAGCTGAATAATCATTAGCTTCCATTATTATAGTTGTCCAAGATACATATCTGAAATAGGATTATATTTTTTTCTAGGTACCCAGCCTGACAGAATGCTTAAATCTTGAGCACTAGAAAAAAGAGGGTCCTAATGGAAGCTCTTATTTAATCTGTTTATAAACATAAATGATCTACAAACAAAAATTCGTATTTTAAGGATTTATTTCTCACAAAGATTATCAGTGCTTTTACATGTAAGAGCATCTGTATACAGGTTTATTCAACTATTTAATGTTTACACACAATACATAAATGTTTTTGGAACCTCAAGTTCTTTGATGATTGCAATATCGTTTCCAAATAAACATGATAGAACCTTAAATATTACATCATTCAGATTATTATTTTTGAAGAGAGGAACCTCTAATAGACAACTCCAACATAACTGTCCATTAACTGTTTGTAGTAAAACTGTATTCCTAGTAGATTTTTCAGCATATGGATGGTTCTTCTACTGCCTGGGCACCCTCTGTGACAGCTTTGACACATTTGGCCATTGTCTGTGAGGCTCTGCTAATTGAATCTGAAAGATATTAAGAAAATGTGTATTTTGATAATATAACTTTTAAAAAAGCACATAGTAAAACTTTGTTTCACATATTCAGGGGGGAAAAGAAAGGCTATAAAATTCTATATAACTATCTGTAAATTTTGTGAGATCGACCAACAAATTCGAAGGAAGCCCTTATTAGTTAAATGCTTTTAATAAGTACTCATAGGTATATGATTAAGTAATCATATACAGCCATACTATGTGCCAGTATGCTACCATTAAAAATATTATAGGAAAGTATTAAAGACAGAAAAAAATATGAATATATACTATTACTGAAAAAAAGGTTACAAAACAGTATGTGTACTAAAATACATTGACTTGTACACTTTATGGGTGAATTTTATGTATATGAATTATATTTCAATAAAGCTGTCTAATAAAAACCCTACAGCACATAAATAATCTTATTTTTTGTTTAAATAAATATTTTTGGATGACTGACCAAAATGTTAAAAATAAATAGTTATTTCTGGGTAGTGGAATCATAGTGAATTTCCTTGCTATTTTTGGCTTAAGTATGTCTTCTATAATGAACATAACTTTTATAACATATCTAAAAATCCTATTAAAAATAACCTTATAGACTGTTCTAAAAATTTAAAAATATACTCCTACCTGCTCGAAAATAATTTTAAAGCATCTATCAACTACCTCATAACCATGATGTTATATCAAGTATTGCAAGATCTGCAGTAAACAAGTTTGTTAGCCTGCATTCTTTAAAAACATTCTTAACATTTTACATCAAAAGCACCATTTAACATGTTCCACCATTCAAGTGTTTTAATTATTCTACTATAATTCTCAGAAAAACCTTCACAGAAAAATTCTCCCTAAACTGCTATAGTGATTTTACATACAATAGTAAAATTTTATATTTAAAATCTGTTAACTTTTCGTCTACGGCCATTCTACCCTGAACGTGCCTGATCTCATCTGATCTTGGAAGCTAAGCAGGGTCGGGCCTGGTTGGTACTTGGATGGGAGACCACCTAGGAATACTAAGTGCTGTAGGCATTTAAAACATAAATAAATAAATATTAAAATCTGTTAACTTTTCTTGGATTTTAAAACTGCTTACATTTCAGAAAAAGAAATTACAGTAAAGTCAGAAAATATGAATTACATTAGTTCTGATGTTTTGAAAATCTTTAAAGGTTAAAAATATCAAATTCTATCACTAATAGGTTAGAATCATAATGCTAAATTTGGGGATCTTATTCCTTACCACCTTTCATATTTGACAATTGCATACCTGTCATGTAGAAGTCTTTTATCGTTAGCTGGGGTGGAACAAGTGGATCAGCAAGAAGTTGCTGGTTCACTAGCTGCAGAAAAGGAATAAGAGATGCATAATAGTATTAAAAACTAGTGTTGTTACACCAGAGGATACACTACTATGAAAACTGCATTAGGCAAGCTTTTACCTTGGAGAGCTCACTTGCTTGCTGGAAGTAATTAGCTCCTTCAACGTCATCATACCGAACAAGATTAGGAGAGACTTCTTCCAATCTGTTCCTTATTTGATCCAGAGTGTCATATGGAAGAGTTTTACCTGCAATCTAAACATATCAGATCCCAAAAATTAACATGAAGCTTTAATATAATTATATATTATTTAAAAATTTCAAATAATATATAATTGAGACTATGGTGAAACAATGCAGTACCACTGAAAAATCTACTGGTGTCCACTAGTGTATATATTAAGCAAGTAGTTAAGTGGGGAACACAATTGTCAAAAATTCTAGTTCATAAACAGCTGTCGTACATTAGTAACTTATATTTAGAAAACAGACTGATTATGAAATAAAAGGAAATAATGCTATAGTAAATATGAATGCTTCTGTTAACCTGTTATTGATCATATACACAGTTTACAGACAACTGTCTATTATTTTAAATCTCATGACGCTTTTTACAGAAAAGAGTTAAAAAGTATCAAAAGACAAATCAAAAATAAAAATACCAATTTCAGATATCCATTTTTTAACACATTTTTCCTATAGAGATTATTCAAAATATCTCTCCATTTTAGGCTTGCATCTTCCTTGACTTTGAAAATCATTATGACAAGCCAACATGTCAAACTTCCCATTAGCAGTATCACCAAGAATAAATACCTCTGAGAGGGCTCTTATAATTTTCCAGTCTTCTCTTGCCAAGCCAGGAGGTGTCACTGCTACTTTAGTCTGCTGAGCTCGGCCTTCGGTATTGACATAAGTAGCAGACTTCTCTGTGTAAGCAGCGCCTGGGAGAATGACATCAGCTATAGGAGCTCCAACATCACCATGATGTCCTGTGAAAAGATGAAGATCGGCAAGCCACGTTTTAGTAAAACACTGATTAGGTACTGTATGTGAACAGAGTATACAACCTTTTAAAATCCCATTTTAAAAATTACAAAAGTGTTTTTAAAATTACAACAACATAGTACTGAAGTATTTGGAATAAAACTTAAAGCCCACTTCACCCACAATTTAACTCCCTTCCCAAAGAAAATTACTATTCGGTATGTTCCAGGCTATTGTTTGCAAATATACAAATATATATAATGGGCAACTAGGTATATCATTTTTCTTGATGATTACAAAGTGGAAATGTTCAGATGAACATTAGCAAAATTTGCAGACTGAAATGGTAGAGGAACAAAAAAATGTAGAACAAGAATAAGAAGTAATAATATTGAAAAGGAAATAAACAGAAAATTATAAAAAATAGTATCCTGAAAGACTATCATATATTGCTAACAAAACTATTGGAAGGAAAAAGGAAAGAATTAAATGAAAATTACAGAATATATAAAGTTTGATCTCATTTGTGTACATGTTTCTATGTGCACAGGAAAATGCATGAAGCATGTGTATCAAAACCACAATCAGTCATTATCTCTGGACAGGACTAGGAACAGGGTTTTAGTTTATGCACTTGGTTTAACTATTAAAGATACAAAATATTACATAATGCTTTTTATGTACCATGAAAGGTTTCTTAGAAATTTATGGTGTTTATGTGTAAAAGAAGCAGAAAGTTATGTAATACTTTTCTCTGTAAAGTATCCAGGATTACTCTGGACTCTATTTATTCCAGGGAAACTTGATTACATTTACAATGAAGGAGAGTTCAAGAAAATGAGTCAAACATAAAAAAACCCAAGGAGTGCTGTTAAATATAATTCGTTAATGTCCTGTAACACAGGACTCATGACTTTTAAACTTTTTCAGGCTTTATATAAAACTGCTTTCCCCTGATTATATGATAATGCTAAATATTCCTTGAAAAGCTGAATTTTAATATTATATATTTCTTTGTATAAGTAAGCCATAATTTAATCATTCTTGTTGCTGGGAACATTTAGGTTTCTTCTAATTCTGTTATTAAATAACATCAGGTAATAATTCTTAAGAGCAATATCAACTATGTAACTAGTAAAACCTATGATTTGGTTTTAAAAACTGTTGGGGTGTGTGTGTGGGAAACTCCTGAATGGAAAATATTCGGTCCACTAAATATATTGCTATACAGTTTCTAATACACACAGTGCACCATTCTCTTCTGTTTCTGTTGTCACAGATGCTACTAACCTTGATAAATAATGAAACAATCCTTTGGCAAATCCTGCCGAGTGATACAGCCTCCATCTGCACCTAGGAGGAATAGTACTTTGGGAGGGTTCTTCCGAATTGCTTCCACCCCAGGTTTATAGCCGAGGTCTAAAGCAGCTACTTGGCTTGCAATCCTGTAAAACAACTACGGATTTTTAGTGCAGTGTTTTCATTATAAAAAATTAAATGTGATATTAGTCGTCTTTCTATTCAATGCTGTTAAAAACCTTACCTCGCCTTTTTTAACCCATTTAAAACATATGTCAAAACCAGAAACAGCAGTCTTTTACAGTTTTAAGAATGGCAAACAAAGAAAAAGATGCTTAGGACACCGTGTTTCTTCATTTGATAATATTTAATGAAATAATTCTGGAAACTTGCTGACAATTGCAATTGTCTTAAGTTGATCCTTATTCAATAGTTAAGTCATAAAACACATGATAAACCAAACATAGTCATTTGAGAAAAATCAGGTGATTTTAAAAACAAAGGGGAGAAATTTAAACACCACTCATAAAACTGTAATTCAGAAAAAAAGTATAATTAACACACTGGTGTATGTCCTTATGGAATTTTTTTCTGTGAGCGTGTATTAGTTTTGAAAGCAGAAATAATCTTTTAAAGAAGAGGTCAATATACAGTGTCAGGTGGGTGCTAATCAGGGGAAATCACCTTGTAAATTATATAAATGTCTAACCACTATGCTGTACATCTGAAACTTATATAATACTGAATGTCAACTCTAATTGAAAAATTAAAATTAAAAAAAAAAAGAAGAGGTCAGAAATAACCATACTTTGAACAATCAATTGGGAGTCTTTGGTCTAGTTTGCTATTGTTAACTTTCTAGAAACAGTAGCCATTCTGAGGACTTACTATATGTAAAGCTAGCTAGGCCTTTACATATTTGTTAAGGGAAGAGGGCAGGTCAAACCAACTCCCACTAGATGCTGCTGCTCTATCATAAACTCTCGGATGGAACGACATCAAAAGAATACTTTTAAAAATTTTTTTCAAAGAAGTGCAAGATTCGTGTAACAAAAACTACAAAATAATTTTGAAAGAAATTAAAGTCATTAATAAATTGAAAGACATTCTATGTTCATGGATTAGAAGACTTAACATTAAGATGGCAACACTCCCCAATTTGATCTTTAGATTCACTATAATCCCTACTAAAATCATAGCTTAATCGTTTGCAGAAACTGACCAGCAAATCCTAAAATTCATATGGAATGCACAGGACCCAGAACAGGCAAACCTATCTTAAAAATGAACAAAGTTGAAGGACTCATACTTCCCAGTTTCAAAACTTAGCTCCCTCTCCCTTTCCCATCAAGTACACACTATTTTTTTCTTAATTTCCCTCATTCTCAGCCTTGAGGTTTCCGCTCTCCTCCCCTTCCTTTCTACCTTCCCTCCCTCTCTTCTCTCTCTTTCTCTTCTCTCTCCTCTCTCTCTCTTCTCTCTCTCCCCTCTTTCCTCTCTCTCCTCTCTCTCTCTCAGATCCATCTGGGCAGACTCGCACTAACTTATGACAAAGCCTACCTCACCTTGGAAAACAAACTGAGTAAGCCTAAGTTTGCCTCTGCAAGATGATCAGTAAAAAAAAAAACTATGGAACCCATTAAAAGATTCTTCAAGAATTAGTAAATGTGCTTTACTCTATAAAAGAAAGTGTTTTAAACGATGTTTCATGCTCTCAACAAGCATTAAAAGATATCCTAATAAACTACACTGACTTCTCATAAAAAAGGTATCTTGTGGTAAGAATGAAATAAAAAAACAAGGTTAGTAAATTAAAAATTATAACTGCATCAGTGCTCTCTAGAATGAACTCACGAAATGATAGAATTTTAAAAATTATGTCTAAGCACAGAGAAAAAGGTGAAAAATTGAGAGAAAAGAGCCAACCAATGCATAACAAATAGAAGCTTCTGTATAAGAACAAATAACAATGTAAAAGTAAGTGAATAAGCTTTTTCTGAATTGAGAATATAAACATTAAAAATTTTAATTTGAAAAAGGAGAGTATCTGTGATATTCCCAGGCAAAGGTAATGACAAATAAGTGTCACCCAGTCATGTTCTGTTAGAATTTTTTAACATCAAAAATAAGAAACCCAAAGGGTGAACAGGGAGACAGACACAAGTACATATTTACAACATCAGGTTAGCATCAGAGATAAAACTTGGAATTCATGAGATCCTCTCTAAAATATTAAAGAACAGATGAAAAAATCCTAACCAAATAGTCATTTGTGAGAAGAAACCAGAAAGACATTCAGAAATTGAAAAAAAAATTAATTTAGTACCCAGTCGGGGGGGGGGGGGGGAGGAGAAACTATGTGAATAAAGACATGGATGCAAAAGTGAATTAAAAATAAAGTAAAAACTGTGGCTAAAATAGATCTAGATGTGGTAAATGTAAATAAACTCTTTTTAAAAACATAAGGTTTAAAAATGCTTATCTGATGATTAACAATGTCAAATTAAACCAAGAGCAGAAATACAACATTGAAATTAATGTTTAGAAATACATGTGAACATTTAAATTTTCAAATGTGCCTATCATAAGTAAAAAAAATGTTTAGCCCCAATCCTTAAACAAATTTGAAGAATTTGAAAAATAATACTTAAGGCAGAAAGGATTATGTGAAATGAGAAAACTCGCTAATGTAAAAATGGTACAACCTTTCTAAAAAAATTGGAAATATGTTAAGAGACTCAAAAATGTTAATCCTATTTACCCCAATAGTTCTACTTTTAGAAATCTACTCTAAGGAAACAATCTAAAGTTCAGAGGTATCTGTGTATCACTGCATTATTAATCAAGACTACCAGCAATTTACATGTTAATAAGAATGAAATGGATAAAAAATTATATATACTCATTGCCATTAAAGTTTATAGAGAATTTCTAATCACAGGAGGAAATTCTTATTTGGCAATGAAAACTGATCAAAATCAGGACACAAAATTGTATACACAGTATGATTTCAACTATGAAACTAAAAAAATATACAGGAAAGAAAAGACCAAAAGAAAGTGCACCTAAATAGCAACAGGAATTATCTACAGATTGTGGAATAAAGATAATTTCTATTTCGTACACTTTCTTCTCTTTCCAACTTTCTTAAAATAAATTTGCATTATTAATATAGTCAGCAAAAAACTTTACTCAGATAAATTCTCATGTTAGTTTACACTTTTATCATTTAAGGAAAGACTTGTTGGAATTTTTGAACCAAAGTATACTGATTCTTAAGATTTTCTCAACACGTAGTATTTCGAATATTTTTAATATTATTTATTATCTTGCATTCTCACGCAGAAAGGTTTCTATTTCACATCTGCTACTGAGATAACATTGTTATACATTAAGTTTTTGTAAATCTAAATGTGACAATGAAATAGGAACGCATGTACACAAAATTACTTGAATTTTATAGTATATAAAACAATTACTCTGTATTAACCAATGTTACCCCAATAAACTTAATTTTAAAAATAAAAAATAAAATAAAAAATAAAAAATAAATAAAACAATCACTCAACATACCTATGAAGGATATTCATAACTTTCCAGTCACCAGTAACACCACTACTCATCCGAACCTTTTGAGCAATGCTGGAAACAGCAGCAAGAATTGCTGCCCCATCGTTTCTTTGGAGTGCAGAACTGCCTAAAACCACCATTGGTTTTTTAGCTTCCTTTAGAACCTATTTAAAAAAAAAACAACTTTGATTAAAAAAACATTAGAAGTAAACTAAACTTAGCCAAATTTACATCTATAATATGTTGTCCCCAAGTTTTAATTTGAACATGAATGTCTCTGATTTGCTAGTCAACATATGGACATACATATAGCCAGGTTTAATTAAAACATCTTGTCAATGCTACTGTGAAATGGTTAAATAAGTATCAGATAAAACAGATTTTCTAAAAGTAAGCATTGGGAATCAAAACCCTAGCCAAATGTTCTTTGGCCAGAATGACTATGGGTAGGTCCCAGAAAAATTAAGAAATGTTCTCTAAATAGCAGGGGTCCCCAATCCCTGGGGCTGTGGACCGGTATCAGTCTGCAGCTTGTTAGAAAATGGGCCATACAGCAGGAAGTGAGTGGCAGGCCAGGGAGTGAAGCCTCATCTGTATGTGCAGCTGCTCCCCAGCACTAGCATCACCACCTGGTGAAGTTATTAAATTTCGAGGATAAAGGATCAAGTATTAAGTATCAAGAAAAAGTATCCAGGCACAAAAAAAAAGTTAGGACATGGCTGGGGGAGAATACAATTGATGTCGGGTTTCTCCACAGTAACGAAAGGGTACCTATAAAGATTAGAGAAGAAAAGAAGTGTGACCCTAGAACTTTATATCCTGCCAAGGCTCTCATCAAGAACAAAATACTAGACATTCTCAAGCAAGCAAGAACTCAAAGAATAATGCACCTATGAGCCCCTCTTTTTTTTGTTGTTATTTTCTTATTTTTTAGGCGAGGCAACCCTTGGTTGACCTCACAGATTGCAAGACCTTGTCAGCTTACAATCCTCTATTTTTTTTTTAAATGCCTTCAGCACCTGGTCTTCCTAGGTGTCTCCCATCCAAGTACTAACCAGGCCCGACCCCGCTTAGCTTCTGAGATCAGATGGGATCGGGCTTGTTCAGGGTAGCATGGCCGTAGACTATGAACCCCTCTTGAAAAAATAAAAACTATAATCTACAGACAGCAATAAAATAAATGTAAATAAAGGACTTAGTAATGAAAAAGTCATATAAAAGGACTGGTGAAATTCAGGTATAATTCTTACAATAAAGAAATTGTTCAATCCTTTCAGTTTTACTTCAATTTCTTTTCTGATAATTTCAAGTAAAATTAAACTCCAGTACATAAAAATAGCATGCACAGTATGATCTGATTGTTTGTTTGTTTTATTCATCCACCTTGCTTTAATATATGAACAGAAATGATTATGATACTTAATACTTGCTTGGGATGGTGGGATTTTGGCAAACGTTTTACTTTCATCCATGTCCTTTTCTATATCACTATAATTTTTAATAGTAGTCAGATATTGTTATTACAAAAACAAGAAATTTAAAAAATAATACTTAAAACAATCAACAAGAGTAGATATATAATGAGCACACCTGGCTGAATGGATGACTACCCGAAGCAATGTCTTGAAGAATTTTGGGGGAATCTCCCAGATGGTCATATGTGTAAGTGAGATCCACAGGGCTGCCTATAAGTGCCACTTTTAAGTCATTATGAAGCCAGCTGAAATAAAAACAAAGTTTTTAGAGCTAAATTATTAAGTTAGCATAGTTATTGGTCTCATCAATGCTAAGTGTTAATCTATTTATACTACAAAATGTTAAAAGCACAAAAGCATGAACAGAATACTTAACTTTAACATATATAATTTATTGTGTACCTTTCAAAATAAAGTGTTGCAAAAATACGCAAAGGTAAATCAATGAATTAATTTTATATAAAAATGCTAACTCTATAAAAAAGACTTTAATTTTAGAAAAAATGATCCGTAGTTTTTATTTTGTCCTATTTACATCATAGTTATTTATCTCCTAATTATCCACTACAGTCATTTAAATATAGATCATGAAAATAAACTACATGATTCATATTTATTCTTTATGACTGTGAAGTATGAATCTGGCTCCTCCAAAATAGTTACAAATGCGGTGACCACATATTCTGATTTGTCTGCAATACTGCTGGTTTTTACCTGTCATCCTGGAGTAATTAACAACTCCCTGTTTCACTCTCAACAATGTCCCAGTTTAGACAATAAATTATATGGTCAACCTATTCATAAGTCTCTAAGATATAAAAAGAGGCATTTTACAAAACTGGCCTGTGTTCTTCAAAAAAATGCCCCCATAAAGAGACTGAACAATAGTGACAATAATTACATACAATGTATGACTCCAGACTGGATCCTGGTAGGAAAAAGTTATTCTAAAATGAATTATGGGAAAATTGGTAAAATCTGAACATACACTATTGCGCAAACTCTAATTTATATTCAGTTTCTTGTCTCCAATGAACAAACTGACATCTTCACCTACTTCAATTTCTCCATATGAGAGGAAAAAAGATATTTCTCAAAGTTAATATGAAAACCAGTAATATACATAGGACTATTACTATCAGTTTTGTTCAATTCTCTATATAAACAGTCCAGATTTTAATAGTTTATATTCATTAATTAATTTGCAACTATAAGACAGTTCTTTAAAATTAAATTACAAAATGCTCTTTAAATTACCTGCAAAAGGAAAACAGTATAGCATAAACATAAACATACTAAATTCTCGAAAATCCATACGGAAATATTTAAGGATAAAAGGGCATCGTGTTTACAACTTTTAAATGATTCAAAAAATTACATTCGTATATGTACATATATATATATACATACATACGCACACACATATGCAAACACACAAATATATATATAAGAAAAAAGAATAATAAAACAAATATGACAAAATGTTAAAAGTGGTTAATCTGAGTGAACAGTGTTAGAAAAATGAGTATACAAAGGTCATTTCAAGTATCTTGAATTATTTCAAAATAAGAAGATAAAATAAAAAGCTCAGCAGGAGGTGAGGGGTTGAATGAACCTGTGAAAAATTGCCCTCCAATTATCTTTTGAAGTGTCACTTACACTATTAGAAATCGGTGAAAATAATAATTTTTCATATGCAAAAATTATTATACATATGTTTTTTAAACCCCAAACATTATTACTAACCTCTTTCGAATTCTAGCATTAAATAGTGGTGCCTCAAATCGTGGATTTGTACCAACCAGAAGGACAACATCTGCCTCTTCCACACCAGCAATTGTAGTATTTAGAAGATAATTAGAACGCAAATCTGTGCTAGAAATACAAAATTAAAAATACAAGTTTACTTCAAAACTAATATGTGCTGACAATCCATGAAATAGTCTCATGCAATGAACCCATGGCACTCCCAGACAAAAAATTTTTATGAAGTATTCTTAAATTACATCAAAGTTTCAGATACTTATTAAAATGGGATTCTCCAATAACTCCTGGTTTGACTTTGGTCTACACGTGAAAATAAACTGGTGGGCATGTTGGAGAATCCACATTGTCGCATTTCAGTTAATGATGCCATGAATGTTGGTTTATACACAACTTGTAACCAATAAAATAAAAAATAAAATAAAATAAAATAATGAAATAAAATAAAGTAATAAAAAATAAAATAAAATAAAATAAAATAAAGAAGGAAAGAAGGAAAGAAAGCCTAGATCCTAGCTTCATATTTCTCACCCAGCTCCTGCAGTTGGGAAGACCTCTTCAGTGCAGAGGGTGTCAGAGTCCACTCTATTAAGCAAATCTTTGAGAGCTACTAGGGCTTCAGCATCCACCAAGCCACCTGCAATTGCTGCGATATCCTTGCCTTGAAAACTCTGGAACTAGAAATGGATGCAAAGCATATTATTAAGAAGCCTTCATACAGCAAAGACCACAATGAATTGTTCAGAAACAAAGCAATAATCATTTTCAAGGAGGAAAAAAGGAACAAACTTCTAATAAAAAGTTTTACACCAATTATGAAATAATCTAAAAGTGAGAAGCAGAAGTATATGCAGGGCCAAGGGTAATAACACCAACTTGGACTGAGCTGTTTTAAATTAGGAACAAAGGGGCCTCAAAAGTAGGTCTGGAGGATGAAGAATGTGGAGTTATAGTAAATACAATTTTTTTCTGAAGTATATGCCATTCCTTCAAGCCCTTTTATATACAGTGCCTTTCTCTGACCAGAAAGCCATTCCCTACATTTTTGCTCTTGTAAGCTAGTATTCATTCTTGAACTTTGCCTAAGGAGTCACCTAATCTAGGAAGGCATCCTTGATATGGTAGCCCTGGTTAGCCACTTCTCCTATATGTTCTGGTATATATCATTTCCTGTACAACTACCCATAGCAGCATATGATAATTGCCTAATTATGTATCATTCCTTACTACAAGATTGTGGGAGGTAAGGACTACGTGTTAGTGGTCTTTAAATTCCTACATCTAGCATGACATATTACATGTTGTTCTCAATAAATGTTTATTAAATGGAATATAATCTTAGTAAGAGAAAAGAAGTGAAGAGATACACATCCATTTTCACTATAAAGATGGCCCTTGAAAATCACAAATACAATTATTCCATATTTCGATTTTTTACCATTCCAGCTACACGAGAGAGTGCATCCTCCCAGGAGGTATAGGTTAAAAGCCCCTTGTCGTTTCTGACCATCGGCTCAGTAAGTCTTTGACGTTTCAGCCCATCATAGGCAAATCTAGATAACAGAAATTATACCATTTGTGGAATCTTGCTAAAGAGGCAATTATAATTTTCAAGTTTAAAATCTGAAAGAACTGTTAATTAAATACAGTATTGGTTAAAGTGTCAAATAAAATAATACCTGGAAACAAATAATTATCTCAGATTTTTTTAGAGATGAACTAATAAATATTTTATGAATATCACCTAAAAGCTAAAACACCATCTAAAAAGCATGAATTCTTATAATTTATTTTCAGCTACCTGCGTAATCTTAAAATTACAACATGAAAAATATCTGATAGCTGAAAAAGCCAAATCATCTTTATTTATAAAACCTGAATGCCTCTAGATTTTTTTATCAAAATTATGTTGTGCGAACTCTAACTTATAGTTAGTTTTTTGTCTCCAATAAACAAACTGAGATCTTCACCTACTTCAATTTCTCCATATGGGAGGAAAAAAGATATTTCTCAAAGTTAATATGAAAACCAGTAATATATGTAGGACTATTACTGTCAGTTCTGTTCAATTCTCCATATAAACAGTCCAGATTTTAATAGTCTATATTCATTAATTAATTTGCAACTATAAAAGACAATTCTTTAAAATTAAATTATAAAATGTCCTCTAAATTAACTACAAAAGGAAAACAGTATAGCATATACCTAGTTTTATCAGAGATCCACTCTTCATTGATGTCCTCATGCATCCTTGGCAAAATCCTCATCACCTCTCCAGTTCTTGTGCTTACCACAATGTTACTTCCAACTGCATCCATTACATCAATGGATTCTGTCTTTCTGAGAATAAACACATATATTTGCTATGCTGATTTTAAGAACAAGTTTCTGTACCTGGTTTACCAAAAAAAAATTTTTTTATAATTACTTTCCTTTCTAAATTTCTAAAAATAATGGAACTCAGAGGAAATGCTAAAAGAAAAAACACCCTCATAGTTGAACATATCGCATAAAGGTCCAATGCAAAAATGAAGCCTTTGAAACTATTATCTAATATAGAAGCCATTTGGAAGGGCTCTAAATAGCCAAATCTGGAACAATTTGAATATCAAAATAAATAACAAGAGGGGAGAGATTTCTGGGTATAGATGATTAAGAAGCTTGACATACCCTTCCCCTCAAAAGCGAAAATAAAGCTGAACGAAATTAATAAAAACAACTAATTCAGGCATACAACATGAGAAACTTTTAAGCCTGGAAAAACTGCTGAACTCTGAGTAAGAACAGTAGAAACCAGTGATGTTCTGGCTTGGGGCTGTTATTATCCCCTCTCCCACTACCCTGAACTGGAGGTTTTGCCAGGGTAGGGCAGGCTGTGAAGGTGGGAGTTTCTTGCCTGCAGATAAAGACTCACTCAATTTGGAATAATAGGCAAAACAGTCCTGGAGATCAATTGAGCTGAGGAGAGCCCATAATTGAGGCAAGCATTCCTAGTGGAGGCTGTGCATATACGAGCAGCTGAGACCAGAGAGGGCCCAAGCTATTCAACACTCCTGGATAATACTGAGATCCAAAGTGCCTAATGGAAAGCACAAGCGGGGCCAACTTGAAAATAGCCTGAACTCTGAATGTGCCCCTTTAGCCACACACAGATCCACTTGCAGAGTACAGAAGAAGTCTTATTGGCTCTAAGTATTTGAGAGCAATCGTTACCTGACTACTAAGCTCTGCAGACACAGAGCCAATTCCTAAGAAGCCTTACTTAAAAACAAAAAACAAAAATATTAAAATATGCTCAAAGAACTAAGAAAAATCATGTTTAAAGAATATGACAATTATGAATCAATAAGTAGAGAGTTTCAGTAAGGATAAAGAAATTATAAAAAAAGAACAAAATAGAAATTCTGGAGTTGGAAAGTATAATAATTGTAATACAAAAAGTTTACTTTTTAGGGGTTCAACAGCAGATTTGAGATGGCAAAAGAGAGAATAAATTAACTTAGTGATAGACCAATAGAAATTGTCTAATCTGAAGAACAAAGAAAAAAGATTTAAGAAAAATGAACAGTAGCTCAGAGACTCATGAAACAACATCAAGCGTAGCAACGTGTATAATATTGGAGTCTCAGAGAAGGGAAGAAATTCTCTAATTAAACATCTTAGTTATGTACTGTTCCTCCCACACCCCCATCCTTTTGTATACATAAATACATGGTTTAACACCTAGATTTTAAGATACTCCCATTTACTCTGGTGAAAATTTGAAATTGGGAGGGTAATTTGATGATGTTTCCAGATCCTTAAAAATATTCAAACTTTTTGCACCTACCTACTCCACTTCTTGGTTTAATCAGAAGTATCAGAGATATACAAGAAAATTTATGAATAACAATGCTTATCGTAGATTTGTAATTATAAAAAAAACAGACACGCCCGATCCCCTCTGATCTCGGAAGCTAAGCAGGGTCGGGCCTGGTTAGTGCTTGGATGGGAGACCACCTAGAAAGACCAGGTGCTGTAGAAACAAACTAAACATCAATAACAGGAATTTATTATTGATGTGGATATATCCACATAGTTGAAAACTTAATAAATGTGCAATGAAAAGAAACAATAAATTTTTAAAAATGAAGAAAATTTTACTCATTGGAAGGACAACTAAATAAAATAATTTTGTGGTTAAGTACTTTGGAATTTCCAAGAACATTACAATTAATTTGCACAGATTCATCCTATCCTTCAAAAACTAACAACCTATCTTCCATTAAAAGGGTTTTACTTAAAGCAAATAAATAAAAACTTAGTGGATCAATACAATTAGGACTCAAAAAGAAAATGAATCTTAAAAGATTTCTAATAATAGCAAATTAAAGGACAAAAAAATTGTCCAAAAATACAATGATGAATACCTTGTTTCCCAAGGCCGGGCAGTAAAGGCATAGGGCTTAGAGGTCAATGCACCTACAGGGCAGATATCAATGACATTCCCAGACAGTTCAGACATGAACATCTTTTCAATGTATGTGCCAACTTGCATATCATTTCCTCTGCCTGTTGTTCCCAAATCATCTACTCCTGCAATCTCACTTGCAAACCTGAAAGATAAAAATGTACCATCAAATGGTCAAATCCAGCAAAATTACCTCCTTTCCTACTCATGATCACAAAGAGATACTGATTTTCAAAGCAATCAAAAAGATATAAGTATATTTTCAATGGTGAGGATAGCCCCTAAATAAAAAATAATAAATACTTGCATTTAATTTGAGGCACAATGCATAAAAAAATTGCACAAATTATAAATATAGTACAGCAAGTTATTGTAGAGTTAATGCTTATAGATTTTGATTTTTAAATCCAACCAATACTGCTATTAACTGAAAGTGACCAATTTATTCATTTTATTGGCTTATACAAAAAACATTAAAAAAAAATCCCTCTTTTCCCACAAAATAAAAGTTACCATCTTTCCCAGTATTGTTATTCTACCAAATTCTTTGACAATTAAATAAGTATATGAATGATATGCCAGAAGGGGAGGAGGATTACCTGATGCAGCGAGTACACTGTATACATCTTGTCATAATAGTCTTTACCAATGGCCCAATGTTCTTGTCCTCCACAGCACGTTTCCCCTCTAAAAATCGGCTCCTATCACTTCCAAACATCATAGACTGGTCCTTAAAGAGATTACGAGAGTTAATCTAATGCTAACAAAATTAAAATTTGAGACAACCAAAAAGATTTACGAAATTAGACTACATACCTGCAGATCACATTCACCTCCCTGGTCACAAATAGGGCAGTCCAGTGGGTGATTTGCTAATAAAAACTCCATCACACCTTCTCTGTACAGAAAGTTGTAATACATAATATGCTTTACATATACTCTATTTAATAATCTTCATAGATGTATGCTGTCATATAGTATCAATTTGACATTTATTATCAAAAATGCCAATGTAACTATCATTTTAGTATTAAACATACAACCTAAAAAATGGTTACAGGTGCCTAGAACAAATTATTATTAGAGAATCTAGAAAATTATGACTTTTAACAATACGAAATTACCAAACGTTGCTGAATGGTTCTCAGAAAATACATTAATGCAAAACAAACAAACAAACAAACAAAAATGCAAAACAAACAAACAAACAAACAAAGCAAAAACACATTAAGTGCCAGGACATACAGGAATATATCACTGCAATAATTTCAATTCAATAAGCCTCGGGCACACTCTTTATCACAAGCTGAGCAAGTTACAAGGGTTTTAAATGCTGATCCCACTCTAGGCTCAAAACCATAAACACCTGACTTCATCTCCTCTATTGCTCTTAGAAGCCTAGCAGGCCAAGTTCTTCAGTTTGATACTGAATTTCTCATCTATGGGAAGGTCTAAATACTAAAATGTAAAATTTTCTCCTCTAAGAAGTTATTAAGCCAAGTAACAAACAGTACCTGGCTTTCTTAGATTTCTCTGAGTTTGTCAGGATATTCCAACCTTTCATTACTGGCATGGCACAAGCAGCTACAACCTAAAATTTCAATGAAAAAAATCCTTAAGTATTTGTATTTATTTGTAATTATAAGTAACCCAATATATAAAAACATTATTCATTTAAAAACAAGCAAAGAAGAGAGTATTTTAAAACCTGAATTTTTTAGTTTTCATATTAATATGATAATCTAGCACTTCACATTTCTCTTAAAAATAAATAAGACATTCTACTTCTTAATTTTATTCCAACAGTTAATGGAATTTTTTTATAAGAGGCTGTGTAACAGAACATCAAATTAATTACTGTGTTTTGATTAGTATATATGTTACTTAATTAAAATGGCATAAGCCAAAATGAAATTAAACATCTTCATACAACGCTTTTCTCTACTAAAATGGCACAGGATGAGCACTTCTAATGTGCTGCTTGATAACTCCAGATCTCAGTTGTGTGTCATATAGCCATTTGGAAATATTGACAGCTGTGAGAAGTTACCTTTAATTTCTAAATCTGTTTTACTTATTTTAATTATACAGCACTAGTGTTTACAAAGCACTTTCACTGATGTGTTTCCAGTTTTGAAATGAAGAGAATCAACTGCACAAAAAATAAATACATAGATAGAAGTAAGCAGGGCTAGATTCTTCACTATAATAATATTGATTCTAAATAAAGCTGGCCGCAAGATTTAAAGTTTTCTACCTTCTACAGCATGGTGTGGAATTTTAGGTATCAAGTACCTTAGGCGCTTTCTCAATTTCAACGAGGCACATCCTGCAGTTTCCAGCAACAGACAACCTTTCATGATAACAGAATCGAGGGATCTGCATGCCAACCTTCTCACAAGCCTAAAATACAAAGTAAAAAACTTTTGTATTAGAATACCTGATTTCATCCTTGTCTAAAACACATACACACAACATGAGGCCATCCCCTACCTATATTATTACTCCTACTTATATCGGTATCTTCATTCATTCTTACTTCATCCCTGAAGAGAGTTCCCTCCTTTGCTCTTATTTCCAAAACCTGGCTTCTTTGAAGCTGACTCTTTAAAGATCCTTAGCATGCCTAAATATTATGGAAGAATCTGGATGACGTATCCTCAAGCTGTGCTGAAGGCTTGACTCCTCATTTCTACTCTAAAGCACTATCCACAAAGACACCTCCTTTAAACTCTGTCCCAGTGGTTTCATATCTGGACTTCATTGCCTAGCTCTCCTCCTTTGGATTAGACTCCATTTCACATCATCTAGCTCAGCGGTCCCCAATTTTTTTGGCACCCGGGACCAGTGCTCCTATGAGAATCTCATGTCTGATAATGTGAGATGGAGCTGAGGCTGTGATGCTAGCACTGGGGAGCCGCTGCAAATACAGACTAAGTTTCGCTCACTCAGCTGTCGCTTACCTCCTGCTGTGCGGTCCAGCTCCTAACAGGCCATGGACCAGTACCAGTCTACAGCCTAGGGGTTGGGGACCCCTGGTCTAGCTGACTATAATCTGGTCCTACCTTTGGTTCCACATGCCCCACCCAGGACTCACACTCCCACTGTGGCTGAAGCTCTTCCTAGTTCCTTCTCTACCAATTATTATTCCTCCTTCTCCGAGCCTATAAATGTATTCAAATTTCTTCTAAAGTTAGTTCTTCCATCCTTAGCCCTCGCTCTAAAGCAATCTCATCAATGTCCAAATTAACTATTTAGCAAAAATGTATCAACTCTTCCAATGTGCTAGATGCTCTTCCAGTGAGTAGAGCACTGAGCAAGACAGATAGTATCCCTGCATTCATACTAGCTTACATTTAATAATTACATCTAAATCTTCATCTGCAACCCATAGTTCTCTTTTCCAAGCTTTTGACTTAAAATAGGCATTTCTCTGTGTATGCTTCATAGAGTTAAAATTCAACTTATTTCTATCCCCTACTATATATCCCCAAATAAGCTAATAAAGCCAGAAACCACAAAAATCCCTCTGCTCTTCATCATTCCTAAAGGCCTATCTACACCTCACTCTCTTTTGAATCTACCCTCTTATTTTCATTCCCATTGCCACCATCTATTTTAGGCCTTTTCATTTCCTGCTCCACTAATGCAAGATACTCTTCCCTTATCTCTCACTCCAGACTTATTATTCTCCAAAGCATCACCTTGCTGTCACTGTCACACTGCTTAACGGCCATGAAAATTCCTGATGGGTCAAACTACAAGCTATTTAGCGTGGTATATATCTTCTTTCATGACTGGGCCCCCCCCCCCCCCCCACCAGAATAACTTAATTTCCTGTTATATAAGATTTTACATATACCTTACATTCCAACAATACGAAACTATTTGAAGCTTCCTTGTCCACATATAAACACCTATTCATCCTTTAAAATCTCCTCAGGGATCACCTGAAATGCTAACATCTTTCTACCACCTCCTATACCTGCCAAAATATTCTGCACCGTACCTTGAACATACTTTTGATGTATAGTTATTACATGTCTGTGCCTAGCATAATCTAGAAATGGAGACTAAAATGAAGAGCATTTGGCTCTGTGATAACTTGCAGATGGAATGAAGCATCACTTCTCCATGATCAATTTTGTTAGTTCTGGAGAAAACTGGAGAAATTAAATATTTAAGGCATGAATCCAAGAATGTACTATTCTTCATTTATATGCTTTGTAGGACATATTCCTAGAAATATTACTAATAATAGAAAGGTTATATGAAAGTGAAAACCATCAAGTAGGCTCACAACATACAAAGGTTACTATTTCCCAAACTTACCTATATTAACTAATAATTTATTTTAGGTAACTTCAAATTTCTTAATGAATTTTTGTTTGGAAGGCGGAAGTAAAATAAAAGAACTGCCATAGTTCACTAAGTCAGAAACAGATAACTGACAGCTCACTCTGCCAAGATTTCAAATCAAACTTATCTTCATATAACCTTATTGCCTATAGTTCTTTTATGAATGTTTATTGAGGAATCTTGAAAATTTTAGAAGTATATAAACAAGTGTAAAGGAAATAAATTGGTATTTTAAGAAAATCAGAACATACACAAAAATAAAGAATTAGAATGTATGCCTACTTGGAGGACGGTAGTTCCTGGTTCCACCATGACAGATTGACCATCGACAAATACTTCAATCAAGTTGCTTGCGGCTGTGGCAGTTGTTCTGACTGACCATCAAAAACATTAAAGTGAAAAATAAATTAACAGAGTTGAAATAGCAGAGGATAATGGATTGAGTACTCTACAAGCCTAAAATTTTTCATCATTTTATACTATTTCCCTCTTTCTCTAGATTCAAACTTTTAAAATACTGAATAGAAAAGCTTTTCAATCTTGAATCCCAAACAGAATATAGTATCTACTTTTAATAACAGTTTAAGTTCAAGCTCTTAATACCAATGAAAATATGTTCATGAGACTACTTTTCAAAAGCAGAATGACTAGTTTTTCCATTCTAGCACTGATGAGCAGTTCTTATATTTTCTATTCATGATAATTTCTATAAACTGTTTAAGGTAAATTATATTTTGAAAATTATTCTATTCAACTTGGGTCGTTTGTTTCTATTTTTATTTAAAACAAATTAAGAGTTTAGTATCTTTCAAAAAACAATCCACAGACCTATGAATTTACAAAGATAGAAAGTCTAATAGCCACAAATGCAAATTTAAAAAATACTTACCACATCCTGTATGAGACTTAGAAAGGCCTACTAAGGCCCTTCTTACAGGTATCCTTAACATATTGCTAAGAATAAAACAAAGAAGAGTTAGATCATCGTAGGAAAAATACCCTAATTATAAACTTTTTGATATTTTATGGTTTTAAAGCACTCCACATACATTATTTCATTGAATAATCACAAGTCCCGATATTTTCACTCAAATCCTATAGATGACAATACTTGTTCATTTCAGAGTGATTACTGACATATGATATCAAGGGGCTAAGAAGCAACTAGGATATAAATTGGGCTTTCTAATTCTATATAAACGGCAGTTCTGTTGTTTTTAACTATCAAGAAATGATCAAACTTTAAACACAATATAGTAAAACAAATTTCAAGAATAATAATGAGCTTATCATTAATAGCTATGTAAAATAAAGCCCACCTTTCTGCCTTCATTTCCTACCAACGTTCCAACATTCTATGTTCTGAGCAGTTATCTACCAAATGCTCCTGAGATATTCTGTGTTCGCTCACAAGCTCCAACGCTTTGAAGTGTCTGGAGTGCCACATTCTGTGCTAAGTAGTACATTCGTCTCAAAGATTTGCAATTATCTGTTTATATACCTGTTCTACACTCACTGTATTGTAAACTTTTTGAATCTCTCTATCTTCAGTGCCTACCTCCGAGGCTGGTGCACAGTAAGCTCTAAAACTGTGGTTGTCAACCAGGGACAATTCTGCTTCTCGGAAAACACTGACCAATGTCTGGACACATTGTCATGACTGGGGGAAATCTACTGGCATCTAGCAGGCAGCAGCCAGGGTGATAAACATCCTACAGTGCACCAGACGGTCCCCCATAATAATGATCCAAAGTGTCAATGGTGCTAGAATTTGAGAAACCCTGCTCAAAAAGGTTTACTGAATTACTGAAATACATGGGAGTGGATTATATAAGAACACCAATTTATGGTATACACAAGCAAACAGAAAGAAAAGCTATCTGAACTTTTAGGTTTTTTTGTCCATTCACTTGATCATATGGGCTAAACATCTAAATTATAAGTTTTCATTTGAAAGTTTTAAAAATGCAAATTATGAGATCAGAATATATCAACACAAAGAATTTCAAAGGTAAAGAGAGGGGGAAATATTAGAGATATATATATAAGTTTTAAGCACCAAGTTTCACATACCTATCATACAAGATGTATAATCGAAATTTCATAATTCAGATTTCAGTAATTCATAAAAGTCATTAATTCTGAATTTGTGATACTGAATTTGTAGACATCAGATCTATCACCTACTAGTGAGTGATTTTTGGTAAATAAGAGTTTCTGCTTCTTTATCTATAGAGCAGGAAGAAAAAAATACCTCCTAGGCCATGTGTTATTAGTTGGAGCTCAATAAATGTCAGTTAAAGCTGAAGTCAACTTAGGCAGGTTTAGCCACTTGAGATCAGTTTTAAAATGCTCTTCCTTTGTGCTCCTTCTCATTACTATCAGCACACATTGTGTATATACTTTTATTACTCTACCCAGTAAACTGTAGGTCAGTAATCTATTTTAGTACCTACTAAAATGTAAGCTCCTTGACAAGGAATAATGCACTTTGGTCATTTCTCTTTTCTGAAGACTTAGCATCATGACCTTAGGAAAATAACCAACAAATAGTCTTACCACTAATTTCCAGAATGAGTATGATCAGCCCTATTAAAATCTATCGTTATAAAGATAAACCTGAATTTACTGAGCGTAATGACAGATTCCAAATCAGCAATCAATATTTTATACAATTAAAAAAATTTTAATACTATAATTTTGTCTCAATACAATTTTATTTATTTATTTATTTTCCCCCCTCTTTAATTCCGCCCCCCCCCATAGATGTTGCCATTTCTCCTTAAGAACTGGATCTCTGAAGGCGGGGCGTCTCCTCCCACACGCTCCCGTTGTGCACCCAGTTAACTCTTCTTCATGCACTCATTTCTAGCTTATCGTAGACATTCAGTAATTATTTGCTAATGAATTGTTTCCAATCTCTAAACATAACTTCGACTTTCCTGGCAATAAACAGTGCGGGTTCTCTGGCAGCCTTACAATACCCCGCTTTACGATGCACACACAATTTGGTGAAAAAAAGAACAAAACAAACAAACAAAACCCTTGATATTTATAGTTCAGAAACAGTTCACATTACATTTTCTATACCCTCAATTCGTTTTTGAGCAGAGTTGTGTCTGATGCAGGCTCTTACAGTACTGTATATGCACTAGATCACAAGAACTTTTAAACGATGCATCTTTGTTATTCGCAGTGCGACCTTGGGCTAACTTTTTAAATGTCTTTTCCTTCAGTTTCTCCACCAGTGAAAGGAATAAAAAGTGCTACCCGACAGTCAATGGACAAAACTAAAAAACAAAAACAAAAAAACAGGCGTGGACAGTTGCTAACGCAATAGCGGCCAAACGATGATGCACCGTACCAGGTGTGTGCTAATTTAGCGAGAAATGCTCAGCCTTTAGGCCTAAGTCATTGTCAAAGGTCCTTTCCCAGGGAACAAAACGGTCTCCTCTCCAGAAATGGGAATGTCCTGCATTTCCCCTGCAGAGGGAAGGTCACCCACAAGCGTGCATTCCGGCCAGCGCTCCCTACCGCCTCCTCCTTTCTGCTCCAGCCGACCAAAGACCTTGGCTAACCTGCCGGGTCTCGGGGGTTCGTGGGGAGGCGGGGTAGGACGCGGCACCCGGTCAAGGACAAGAAGAGAATCAGTCACCTGGGCCAAAGGAAACGGTCTTGTCAAATAATAAACTCCTGTGGCCGAGGCACCTCAGCCTTCTCACCCAAACACAACCTCACCTTCTCCCCGGAGCCGCTGAGGCTGCGCTGCAGAACTGTCTGCACCACACCGAGCCCCCTAGAAGCCGGGAAGCCTATTCAATATGGCGGCCTCGGCTAAGGCCGTCACCCGGGCCTGGTGAACGGGAAGCCAGGAGGGACTAGAAGCCTCAGATTCGACAATTGCTTGCTCAGATTGAGTTCGGCAATTTCCGTCAGTTTGACAGAAGGCGGGGCGGAGGGTGTAGCAGCCGGGAGGAGGCGGGGATTAGAGGGAGAGAGACGACCTGGACCCGCAGATCCGCCGGAAGTGGCCGGGAGGCAAAGGCCGAGCCCCTTCGGTCATCTCCGGCGCTTCAAGGGGCGTTTCCTGTACTCTTCGGTGCCGTGGAGGTACTAATTTAAGAGATGCCCCTTTTATTAATTTATTTTCAAACCCAAAAAAAAGCCACGGATGATTTATGGGCCATTTAATTCAGAGCCCTGGTTTTTACGTTGAAGAGTGAGATTAACATACTTTGACCTTTAACCTTCGGCACGGTGCGGCGGAGGGAAACGCCTCCGTCTCTATATAAGGAATTTCCCGGACTCTTGCGGCCTCTTTTTTTCCTCTTAACGTTCAGCGAGAACTGCAAACGATCCTGTTTCCTCCGCTGCTGCCCAGTTGCCGGACCAGCAAACGCCATGGGTTTTGGAGACCTGAAAAGCCCCGCTGGCCTCCAGGTGCTCAACGACTACCTGGCGGACAAGAGCTACATCGAGGGGTGAGCGCACGGTCTCGGGCCGGGGCCGAGCCGGGTGCGGCCGAGACCACGTGGCGAGGCCTCCGCTGCCGCAGGAGGAAAGGAAGTCGAGCCCCAGGGCCCTCTGTGATGGGAACTGTGAGGGAAGAAGGGTCAAAAATGTGCTTTCTTCTTACCTGCTTGATTCAACCAGGTTTTTCGCTTCTTTGCTTAGTTAATGTAAGCCTGTAGGTTTATAGTCTTTGAGGTTTACTACGTGGCAGGCATTCTCTGGATAGAACAGAACAGATAGTCCCTAGCTCAAGAAGTTTGCGGTCTTTGAGGTCTACTAAGTGGCAGGCATTCTGTGGATAGAACAGAACAGATAGCCCCTATCTCAAGAAGTTTTTTTTTTTCTCATAAAAAACTAAAGCAGCCTAGGTAGCTCAGTAACAAATGGGTGAGATCTCGCTAATATATTTGACAGACATATTGTTTGTCGTTTATTCGATGGTGTTTGTGGCTTTTCTTTTAAAGGTGTGTGTAATTTTTTTGTATCATTGGCAGGTATGTACCATCACAAGCAGATGTAGCAGTATTTGAAGCAGTCTCTGGCCCACCACCTGCCGACTTGTACCATGCCCTACGTTGGTATAATCACATCAAGTCTTACGAAAAGGAAAAGGCCAGGTAAAGTTAGTTTTATTATCTGAAGAATGGAATGCTTTCTTAGCTTTAAGTCAGGACTTTCACGTTACAGAATTGGACCCAGGCTTCATTAGTTTTGTTGGGATATTGTAAGCTAAATTTCTTTGTGACTTGAGAAGGCCAAGAGACTGAAGTCCTCCATTTTTTCACAGAACAGGTAGAACATGGACAACAGCAATTCATCTTTTCCCCACACTGTGCCCTGCCAGTGTTCCTGGATCCTGACCCCCGGGGGCCCACCTCTGGGGTGAGAGGGTGGCTCATTCATTCAGTCCTTGGCCATTCTGAAACTGCCAACAAGGGTGGAAGTTTGGGGAAGTGGACTCCAGGTCACTAAGAATGGAATTGAGCGTACTTAATGAAATCTCAAATACTCATTCTGAAAGAGTAAATCATAGTGAGTATTGAATATAATGTGTCACGTACTGCTAATGTTTGTTGGGTGAGAAGTTAAACGTATAAAAGTACTTCCCTGAGAGTGTTAAAACGATCTATTGATAGCGATGAAAATAAGTTCTCATGTATTGCCTGAAAAAGGATGTTATACCAACCTAATAGTTAAATTTAAATGTTTTTTCAAGCCTGCCTGGAGTGAAGAAAGCTTTGGGCAAATATGGCCCTGCTAATGTGGAAGACACCACTGGAAGTGGAGCTACAGATAGTAAAGATGATGATGACATTGATCTCTTTGGATCTGATGATGAAGAGGTATGGCATAAATTGATGTAAGTATCAGACTCTTGGATTTGAATCCTGGCTTCATTTATCACCTTTCTTTTAAAAATTCTTACTGGTTACATGATGAATAAAATCAAATCACCATCTTTCGGCTGAGCTCATGATGATTTGCTTTTTTCTGATAAAGCTGGTCTGTTGTGATGACCCACTGTCTTTAAGCTGAGGAACAACCAGTTTTGTGAAGTGTGTTAAATTTTTTCTTTATAGGAGAGCGAAGAAGCAAAGAGGCTAAGAGAAGAGCGCCTTGCACAGTATGAGTCAAAGAAAGCCAAAAGTAAGTCATTTTCTGATTTGTATTTATCTTCATTCATTTCATAATAATGTTGGTAATCTTTTTCAAAGATTGATCCCCAAAGTGATTTTCCTCCATATTTACTGAGTAGGTCAGGATTTCAAAACCTTCTCTAGAAATTCTTAAAAATTCCACAGCTACTGGTCTGCAGCTGTTCTTAATGGTGGCAGTTGTGGCATTCCTCTGTGGGAAAGAAACTGTTACACAATTAAACACCTCTTTCTTAGCAAAACAGAAAGCAGGCATATGTGTGACAAACAAGATATATTCTATAGTTTTATGTGGCTAAGGAAGAAATCCATTTTGAAACATTAATACTAAGTTCCTTGAGCTAGGGTAAAAAATAATATTGAGTATTTGAATAATGCTGCTGTTTGTACTTTTTTTAGAGCCTGCACTTGTTGCCAAGTCTTCCATCTTATTAGATGTGAAACCTTGGGATGATGAGACAGATATGGCTAAATTGGAGGAGTGCGTCAGGAGCATTCAAGCAGATGGCTTGGTCTGGGGCTCTTGTGAGTTTGGTTTTTGCTTTTCGAAAGTGGCATCTGGAATTTGCATAGTTACCTTTGTTAACCAGTAGGACTTATTCTAACTAAGATTTTTTTTGCGATGTTATTTTCAGCTAAACTAGTTCCAGTGGGGTATGGAATTAAAAAACTTCAGATACAGTGTGTAGTAGAAGACGATAAAGTTGGAACAGATATGCTGGAGGAGCAGATCACTGCTTTTGAGGACTATGTGCAGTCCATGGACGTGGCTGCTTTCAACAAGATCTGAAATCCATCATGGATCATTACTCTTAAATAAAAGCTTGAAAGACAGCCCTTGGCTCTTGACTCTTTAATAGGAGGGTGGAACAGCTGACCCTTGAACAATTCGGTGGCAGGGGTGAGGGTGGGGGACACTAGGGGTTCCCCCTGTAAATGCAGCTGAAAATCTATGTTTAAAAACTTAAGTTCCTAGGTATCTACATGGATTTGGTTCCAGGATTCTACGTGGATGCTCGAGTTCCTTACATGAAGTATAAAACCATGCATTCAACCCTCTAATACAGATGCAAAACCTGGGGATATGGAGGGCCAACTATATATATATTTTAAAAATCTGTATAAGTGGACCCACATAGTACAAACATGTTCAAGGGTCAACTGTGTTCTGTTTTTAGAAGTTCAGTGAATGTAATTCACAATATAAATTTGAGTCAGCATTCTTATTAAACACAGCTCAAAAAAGGAGGAAAGTACCTGTTACAAAAATAACAGGTGTTTAGTAGATTTTACAAGCTAATAGAAATGGACTTAGTAAAATTACTGTACCCATTAGTGCTGACGTCAGTAATGCATGATGGTAGCACTTTTACCACAATATTGCAAGTTTTCATATTTGTCTTGTTCTTAAATCTGGGAGCTAAACTTAAAATTTTGGATGAAGAAATTAGCCCTCTAGGTTTACAATGGTTCAGACCTTGAGCTTTGCAAGGAGTTACTATCCGAGCTGATTTTCTTCAGTGGAAATGTTGGGACTTGTACATTAAAGACTCGAGAAATGAGTCAATACAAAGTGTATAGAATGGTAACCAGGCACATAGTGGCTGTCAACAGTATTTGCTGGGTGGTTAAACATTTAGAGATAAAAGGAATTAAATGCTGAGACAGACAATTGATAGATGGGTGACAAAATAATTTGTTCTAGCATTTTCAAATTGGGGGTTACTTACTATTGAAAAGTTGCACAATTTCAAATGTTAACTGTTGAAGTGGAATGTGCAATGTTACTAAAGGACACAACCCAGAGAAGGAGTCCCAGAATTTCTCATGAATTATAACCACTTGTCTAAGCAGATTCTGCAAGTTTAAAATAATGCCTCATAGTATACTGTTAAAGGAGAACTTGGGAAGTGTTGGCAATGTGTTTGGAGTAGCATTGTGTCCTGGAAGGGAGATTACATAGGTAATGGATTCCCAGGCTGTGGTTCATCAGCCTGGATTGGGTGTGGAGGTGGGTGGGGGCCAAGCGAGACTTTGTACTCGTTTGGAAATTTGAACCTTT